GATTAATTTGATTTCCATTATTTCTTATGGGGAAAATTCATTCGCATAACGATAATTTCGTGTAACAATGAGCTCTCAGGAACGGATTAATATCGTTATGCCGGGGTCCACTGTACGTCTGAAACACTGGCTCGTAAGACGTATACATACGACCAAAACAGGCAAAGGGTTAAAGTGCAGACATTGTACATCCCATTTCCAGGACTCAAGTCCGGCTATATAAAATAACCGGTTTCCCTGAATACCTTCATTAAATATTACCCTGCTCACATTCCAACAGCTCGTCAGGTCCCAAATACCATTCGTCTCCATTCACTCCTATCTAACACGTTCACACACGCTTGCTGGAAGTCCAAGCCCCTCTCCCACAAAACCTCCCTTACCCCCTCCCTCCAACCTTTCGAGAATGACCCCTACCTCGCCTTCCTTCCCCTACAGATTTATACGCTCTCCATGTCATTCTACTTTGATCCATTCTCTCTAAATGACCAAACCCCCTCAACAACCCCTCTTCAGCCCTATGACTAATACTTTCATTAACTCTACACCTTTTCCTAATTTCCACACTCCGAATTTTCTGCATAATATTTACACCACACACTGTCCTTAGACAGGACATCTCCACTGCCTCCAACCGCCTCCTCGCTGCAGCATTTACAATCCAAGCTTCACACCCATATAAGAGTGTTGGTACCACTATACTTTCATACATTCCCTTCTTTGCCTCCAAATATAATGTTCTTTGTCTCCACATACACCTCAACACACCACTCATCTTTTTACCCCTCATCAATTCTACGATTAACCTCATCCTTCATAAATCCATCTGCTGATACGTCAACTCCCAAATATCTGAAAACATTCACTTCTTCCATACTCCTCCTCCCCAATTTAATATCCAATTTTTCTTTATCTAAATTATTTCATACCCTCATCCCCTTACTATTTTCTATGTTTACTTTCAACTTTCTACCTTTACACACACTCCCAAATTCGTCCACTAACCTTTGCAATTTTTCTTTAGAATCACCCATAAGCACAGAATCATCAGCAAAAAGTAACTGTCATTTCCCATTTTGTATTTGATTCCCCATAATTTAATCCCACCACTCTCCCGAACACCCTAGCATTTACTTCTTTTACAGCCCCATCTATAAATATATTAAACAACCATGGTGACATTACACATCCCTAAGACCTACTTTTACTATTACTGGTAGTAGGTTGGTAGACAGCAACCACCCAGGGAGGTACTACCCTCCTACCGAGTGAGTGTAAAACGAAAGCCTATAATTGTTTTACATGATGGTAGGATTGCTGGTGTCTTTTGTCTGTCTCATAAACATGCAAGATTTCAGGTATGTCTTGCTACTTCTACTTACACTTAGGTCACACTACACATACATGTACAAGCATATACACACACACCCCTCTGGGTTTTCTTCTATTTTCTTTCTAGTTCTTGTTCTTGTTTATTTCCTCTTATCTCCATGGGGAAGTGGAACAGAATTCTTCCTCCGTAAGCCATGCATGTTGTAAGAGGAGACTAAAATGCCGGGGGCAAGGGCCTAGTAACCCCTTCTCCAGTATAAATTACTAAATTTAAAAAGAGAAACTTTCGTTTTTCTTTTTGGGCCACTCTGCCTCGGTGGGATACAGCCGGTTTGTTGGAAAAAAAAAAAATGGTGACATTACACATCCCTAAGATCTACTTTTACTATTACTGGTAGTAGGTTGGTAGACAGTAACCGCCCAGGGAGATACTACCATCCTACCAAGTGAGTGTAAAACGAAAACCTGTAATTCTTTTATATGATGGTAGGATTGCTGTGTTGTTTGTCTGTCTCATAAATATGCAAGATTGCAGGTATGTCTTGCTACTTCTACTTACACTTAGGTCACACTACACATACATGTACACGTTTATCTATACACACTCATCTGAGCTTTCTTTGATTTTATCTTAATAGTTCTTGTTTCTTATTACTTTTTGTTTTATATCCATGGGGAAGTGGAATAAGAATCTTTCTTCTGTAAGCCATTAGTGTTGTAAAAGTAAACTAAAATGCCAGGAACAATGGGCTAGTAACCCCTTTTCCTGTAATAACTACTAAAATGAATAAGAAGAAAAATTTTCCAATAGAGTTGATTTTTTTTTTTTTTTCAACAAGTCGGCCGTCTCCCACCGAGGCAGGGTGACCCAAAAAAAGAAAGAAAATCCCCAAAAAGAAAATACTTTCATCATCATTCAACCCTTTCACCACACTCACACATTATCACTGTTTTTGCAGAGGTGCTCAGAATACAACAGTTTAGAAGCATACACATATAAAGATACACAACATATCCCTCCAAACTGCCAATATCCCAAACCCCTCCTTTAAAGTGCAGGCATTGTACTTCCCATTTCCAGGACTCAAGTCCGACTATATGAAAATAACCGGTTTCCCTGAATCCCTTCACTAAATATTACCCTGCTCACACTCCAACAGATCGTCAGGTCCCAAGTATCATTCGTCTCCATTCACTCCTATCTAACACGCTCATGCACGCTTGCTGGAGGTCCAAGCCCCTTGCCCACAAAACCTACTTTACCCCCTCTTTCCAACCCTTTTGAGGACGACCCCTACCCCTCCTTCCTTTCCCTATAGATTTATATGCTTTCCATGTCATTCTACTTTGATCCATTCTCTCTAAATGACCAAACCACCTCAACAACCCCTCTTCTGCCCTCTGATTAATGCTTTTATTAACTCCACACCTTCTCCTAATTTCCACACTACGAATTTCCTGCATAATATTTACACCACACATTACCCTTAGACAGGACATCTCCACTGCCTCCAACCGTCTCCTCGCTGCTGCATTTACCACCCAAGCTTCACATCCATATAAGAGTGTTGGTACTACTATACTTTCATACATTCCCTTCTTTGCCTCCATAGATAACGTTTTTTGACTCCACATATACCTCAACGCACCACTCACCTTTTTTCCCTCATCAATTCTAAGATTAACCTCATCCTTCATAAACCCATCCACCGACACGTCAACTCCCAAGTATCTGAAAACATTCACTTCTTCCATACTCCTCCTCCCCAATTTGATATCCAATTTTTCTTTATCTAAATCATTTAATACCCTCATCACCTTACTCTTTCTATGTCACTTTCAACTTTCTACCTTTACACACATCTCAAACTCATCCACTAACCTTTGCAATTTTTCTTTAGAATCTCCCATAAGCACAGTATCATCAGCAAAAAGTAACTGTGTCAGTTCCCATTTTGAATTTGATTCCCCATAATTAATCCCACCCCTCTCCCGAACACCCTAGCATTTACTTCTTTTAACAACCCCATCTATAAATATATTAAACAACCATGGTGACATTACACATCCCTGTCTAAGACCTACTTTTACCGGGAAGTATTCTCCCTCTCTTCTACATACCCTAACCTGAGCCTCATTATCCTCATAAAAGCTCTTTACAGCATTTAGTAACTTACCACCTATTCCATATACTTGCAACATCTGCCACATTGCTCCTCTATCCACTCTATCATATGCCTTTTCTAAATCCATAAATGCAATAAAAACTTCCTTACCTTTATCTAAATACTGTTCACATATATGCTTCTATGTAAACACTTGATCTACACATCCCCTACCCACTCTGAAGCCTCCCAGCTCATCCGCAATCCTACATTCTGTCTTACCTCTAATTCTTTCAATTATAACCCTACCATATACTTTTCCTGGTATACTCAGTAAACTTATTCCTCTATAATTTTTAACAATCTCTTTTGTCCCCTTTCCCTTTATATAAAGGGACTATACATGCTCTTCCGCCAATCCCTAGGTACCTTCCCCTCTTTCATACATTTATTAAACAAAAGTACCAACCACTCCAACACTATATCCCCCCCTCCACTTTAAACATTTCTGTCATGATCCCATCAGTTCCAGCTGCTTTACCCCCTTTTCATTCTATGTAATGCCTCATGTACCTCCCCCACACTTACATTCTGTTCTTCTTCACTCCTAAAAGATGGTATACATCCCTGGCCAGTGCATGAAATTACCGCCTCCCTTTCTTCCTCAACATTTAAAAGTTCCTCAAAATATCCTTGCCATCTACCTAATACCTCCATCTCCCCATACTACTAACTCCCCTACTCTGTTTTAACTGACAAATCCATACTTTCCCTAGGCTTTCTTAACTTGTTTAACTCACTCCAAAATTTTTTCTTATTTTCATTAAAATTTCTTGACAGTGCCTCTCCCACTCTTTCATCTGCTCTCCTTTTGCACTCTCTCACCACTCTCTTCACCTTTCTTTTACTCTCCATATACTCTGCTCTTCTTATAACACTTCTGCTTTGTAAAAACCTCTCATAAGCTACCTTTTTCTCTTTTATTACACCCTTTACTTCATCATTCCACCAATCACTCCTGTTTCCTCCTGCCCCCACCCTCCTATAACCACAAACTTCTGCCCCACATTATTTTGTCATGCCTCCTGAGAGGCTGGAACAGATTAATTGCATGTCAATTAATTTAAATGAGGAAAACTGGCTCAGCATACGAACAAATCAGGATACGAACAAGGTCACGGATTGGATTAAATTCGTAAGCCGAGGTTCCACTGTATAAAGAAAAGCTACACATACATTAAAGACGTATAATTATTCTGCAATCTCCATGGGGAAGTGGAACAGAATTCTTCCTCCGTAAGCCATGTGTGTTGTAAGAGGCAACTAAAATGCCGGGAACAAGGGGCTAGTAACCCCTTCTCCTGTATAAATTACTAAATTTAAAAAGAGAAACTTTCGTTTTTCTTTTTGGGCCACCCTGCCTCGGTGGGATACAGCCGGTGCGTTGAAAGAAAGAAAGAATTATTCTGGAAATAATGAATTAACACCTAACAATTTTAAACACTCAGTATACCTCAGATTCTGAAAAAGCCAAAGACAAAATAAAAATTACTAGAAACTTACTCTCAAATGATTGAGGAGGAAGGAGAGAGAGCACTTCATAGAGACGGAGTCGTACCATAGCTGTAGAAGCTTTGAGGTGCTGACCATACTGCTTCACAATGTGTGTTATACTGTAGATTACGAAAAATATGATATGATTATACTCTACTAATTCTGTGCTGAGAAATTTTATTTCAAGCTCATTATTTAATGATGATATGCTAAATTCCCTCTAATTTATTCAAACTAAAAATATATTACTGCACTGTACTTTATTTTGATAATTAATCCACACAAAGTACCTGGAAAGCATGAGAAGGGCAGCCTCAATTGGTAAGAGTAGTCTCCGTACAGTATCTTCAGCAGCCAATTCTGAGCAGTGAAGCAAAAAGCTGTGCATAGATGTAAGGGCACCTGCTCTACCTTCCAGAGTTACCTAAATAAAAAAAAAATATACGAACAAGTCAGCAACAATATAGTGTCTGCACATTCCAACAAGCTGAATTTTTTTATATAAATTTTTTTTTTAACACATCAGCCATCTCTCACTGAGGCAGGGTGACCCAACTTAAAGAAACGCTTTTACAATCATTCACACAATCACTGTCTTTGCAGAGGTGCTGAGATAAGACAGTCAAGATGTCACTCCAAACAGCCAATATCCCAAACCCCTCCTTTAAATTGTTACATTGTAATACTGTAATCTTCATTAACTAATTCAGTAGTGTAAAAAATCATATTATCATGTAGCATCACCTGATATAATATTAAATTTTCCTATACTCACTCAAACTCGTCTAATGATCATATAAACTATGTATTATTCCTTACTAGTCTTAAGTTAATCTTTAAGTTTGCTCAAAATGCTCAGCATACAGAGGGGCTTTTGGCATGTACACCAAACTATTATATTCCACTGTACAACCATGTAATTTGTCAAAATAGAAAATCTAAATCTAAAGTGCAAGAACTGTATTTCCCACCTCCAGGACTCAAGTCTGACTAACCAGTTTCCCTGAATCCCTTCACAAGATATTACTCTGCTTACATTCCAACAGCTTGTCAGGTCCCCAAAACCATTTGTCTCCATTCACTTTCATGTATCAGTAAATAATGCCACATTTTACCAGCTAAGACACAATTTTTTTACTAAATAATGTGTCCATACTAATACCTACCATAATATAAATGCAAGCTTTCCAAGAAAATGTGAAAAAATTATATCTCAAGAAAAGCTTTTCAAGGCTATTGGCATTTGTTTTTGTTATTGTTTAGTTGAGGGTTGTGACAACCCCAGGGCCACTGTACCTCTCACTGCTGCAAAATTAACTACCAGAATGCTTTTGCAATTATTTATTACATATTAATAAGTTAATTACAATAAAGGAATATAATTATCATTTCCCTAGCAATTTTAACAATAAAAATAGAGTATCATTAAGTTAGGGTGGGTGGGTGGTATACTCAGAGGCTGTTACCTCTTAACACTAACACAACAACAATAAACCCTCACAGATGTCCTAGTGACTTTACTACAATATACGAGTGTTCCAACTAAACTGATGCACAAATATACAGAAAGCAAGTACTGAATACACATTATATCCAGGTTCCTCTCATCTTTTAACCTTTCTTATGCAAAGTAAGATAAGCAGAGGATATATAAACACTGGGAAGGTCCCTCACATGGATAAGTGCAGTTCATGTTTACCCTCTCAATTTATATACAAATATTGTCTCTAGCATGCTTACATTTAAACACAGCAAGCGTGCATGAGCGTGTTAGATAGGAGTGAATGGAGACGAATGGTACTTGGGACCTGACGATCTGTTGGAGTGTGAGCAGGGTAATATTTAGTGAAGGGATTCAGGGAAACCGGTTATTTTCATATAGTCGGACTTGAGTCCTGGAAATGGGAAGTACAATGCCTGCACTTTAAAGGAGGGGTTTGGGATATTGGCAGTTTGGAGGGATATGTTGTGCATCTTTATGTGTGTATGCTTCTAGACTGTTGCATTCTGAGCACCTCTGCAAAAACAGTGATAATGTGCGAGTGTGGTGAAAGTGTTGAATGATGATGAAAGTATTTTCTTTTTGGGGATTTTCTTTCTTTTTTTTGGGTCACCCTGCCTCGGTGGGAGACGGCCGACTTGTTGAAAAAAAAAAAAAAAAAAAAAAGTTTTTTTAGGCACAGGTTGGGCTTTTAGGATTTAGGCACAGACTCGTTGGATTGCGTGCAGCCAGCCACCATGCCACAGCGTTTTTTCATATTTTTCACGGTCTCTCTTGCACGCTGAACTTTAAACTGTGTCAGTGAACTTATAAGCTTCTCTCTTTTATGTGCGGGTTATTTGTGTATTGTGTAAGCTATATCCCTCCAGCGCTTGGAACTAATCTTCCGGAAAAAATATCTACCGAGTCAAAAAAGGAGAATCAGTGTACAATAACAAAGCATAACCATACTCTGAGAGGGAAACTTAGGTCTAGTGTGCCAGAAAAATAATATTAGAACTTTTTGTCAGAGGAAAGACAGTCTCCCTGATAATAGTATGTTATACATAGTGATAAAAGAGAAAAAGGTAGCTTATGAGAGGTTTTTACAAAGCAGAAGTGTTATAAGAAGAGCAGAGTATATGGAGAGTAAAAGAAAGATGAAGAGAGTGGTGAGAGAGTGCAAAAGGAGAGCAGATGATAGAGTGGGAGAGGCACTGTCAAGAAATTTTAATGAAAATAAGAAAAAATTTTGGAGTGAGTTAAACAAGTTAAGAAAGCCTAGGGAAAGTATGGATTTGTCAGTTAAAAACAGAGTAGGGGAGTTAGTAGATGGGGAGATGGAGGTATTAGGTAGATGGCGAGAATATTTTGAGGAACTTTTAAATGTTAAGGAAGAAAGAGAGGCAGTAATTTCATGCACTGGTCAGGGAGGTATACCATCTTTTAGGAGTGAAGAAGAGCAGAATGTAAGTGTGGGGAGGTACGTGAGGCATTACGTAGAATGAAAGGGGGTAAAGCAGCTGGAACTGATGGATCATGACAGAAATGTTAAAAGCAGGGGGGATATAGTGTTGGAGAGTTGGTACTTTGTTTAATAAATGTACGAAAGAGGGGAAGGTACCTAGGGATTGGCGGAGAGCATGTATAGTCCCTTTATAATAAAGGGAAAGGGGACAAAAGAGACTGTAAAAATTATAGAGGAATAAGTTTACTGAGTATACCAGGAAAAGTGTACGGTAGGGTTATAATTGAAAGAATTAAGAGGGAAGACAGAATGTAGGATTGCGGATGAGCAAGGAGGTTTCAGAGTGGGTAGGGATGTGTAGATCAAGTGTTTACATTGAAGCATATATGTGAACAGTATTTAGATAAAGGTAGGGAAGTTTTTATTGCATTTATGGATTTAGAAAAGGCATATGATAGTGTGGATAGAGGAGCAATGTGGCAGATGTTGCAAGTATATGGAATAGGTGTAAGTTATTAAATGCTGTAAAGAGTTTTTTATGAGGATAGTGAGGCTCAGGTTAGGGTGTGTAGAAGAGAGGGAGACTACTTCCCGGTAAAAGTAGGTCTTAGACAGGGATGTGTAATGTCCACCATGTTTGTTTAATATATTTATAGATGGGTTGTAAAAAAAGTAAATGCTAGGTGTTCGGGAGAGGGTGGGATTAAATTTTGGGAATCAAATTCAAAATGGGAATTGACACAGTTACTTTTTGCTGATACTGTGCTTATGGGAGATTCTATAGAAAAATTGCAAAGGTTAGTGGATGAGTTTGGGAATGTGTGTAAAGGTAGAAAGTTGAAAGTGAGCATAGAAAAGAGTAAGGTGATGAGGGTATCAAATGATTTAGATAAAGAAAAATTGGATATCAAACTGGGGAGGAGGAGTATGGAAGAAGTGAATGTTTTCAGATATTTGGGAGTTGACGTGTCGGCGGATGGATTTATGAAGGATGAGGTTAATCATAGAATTGATGAGGGAAAAAAGGTGAGTGGTGCGTTGAGGTATATGTGGAGTCAAAACACGTTATCTATGAAGGCAAAGAAGGGAATGTATGAAAGTATAGTAGTACCAACACTCTTACATGGGTATGAAGCTTGGGTGGTAAATGCAGCAGCGAGGAGATGGCTGGAGGCAGTGAAGATGTCCTGTTTAAGGGCAATGTGTGGTGTAAATATTATGCAGAAAATTCGGAGTGTGGAAATTAGGAAAAGGTGTGGAGTTAATAAAAGTATTAGTCAGAGGGCAGAAGAGGGGTTGTTGAGGTGGTTTGGTCATTTAGAGAGAATGGATCAAAGTTCTTTGCTGATGACACTGTGCTCTTGGGAGATTCTGAAGAGAAGTTGCAGAGATTGGTGGATGAATTTGGCAGGGTGTGCAAAAGAAGAAAATTAAAGGTGAATACAGGAAAGAGTACGGTTATGAGGATAACAAAAAGATTAGGTGATGAAAGATTGAATATCAGATTGGAGGGAGAGAGTATGGAGGAGGTGAACGTATTCAGATATTTGGGAGTGGACGTGTCAGCAGATGGGTCTATGAAAGATGAGGTGACTCATAGAATTGATGAGGGAAAAAGAGTGAGTGGTGCACTTAGGAGTCTGTGGAGACAAAGAATTTTGGGTCCTTGGAGGCAAAGAGGGGAATGTATGAGAGTAATAGTTTTACCAACGCTCTTATATGGGTGTGAAGCATGGGTGATGAATGTTGCAGCAAGGAGAAGGCTGGAGGCAGTGGAGATGTCATGTCTGAGGACAATGTGTGGTGTGAATATAATGCAGAGAATTCGTAGTTTGGAAGTTAGGAGGACGTGCGGGATTACCAAAACTGTTGTCCAGAGGGCTGAGGAAGGGTTGTTGAGGTGGTTCGGACATGTAGAGAGAATGGAGCGAAACAGAATGACTTCAAGAGTGTAATCAGTCTGTAGTGGAAGGAAGGCGGGGTAGGGGTCGGCCTAGGAAAGGTTGGAGGAGGGGGTAAAGGAGGTTTTGTGTGCGAGGGGGTTGGACTTCCAGCAGGCATGCGTGAGCGTGTTTTGATAGGAGTGAATGGAGACAAATCGTTTTTAATACTTGACGTGCTGTTGGAGTGTGAGCAAAGTAACATTTATGAAGGGATTCAGGGAAACCGGCAGGCCGGACTTGAGTCCTGGAGATGGGAAGTACAGTGCCTGCACTCTGAAGGAGGGGTGTTAATGTTGCAGTTTAAAAACTGTAGTGTAAAGCACCCTTCTGGCAAGACAGTGATGGAGTGAATGATGGTGAAAGTTTTTCTTTTTCGGGCCACCCTGCCTTGGTGGGAATCGGCCAGTGTGATAAAAAAAAAAAAAAGGATCAAAGTAGAATGACATGGAAAGCATATAAATCTATAGGGGAAGGAAGGCGGGGTAGGGGTCATCCTCGAAAGGGTTGGAGAGAGGTGGTAAAGGAGGTTTTGTGGGCAAGGGGCTTGGACTTCCAGCAAGCGTGTGTGAGCGTGTTAAATAGGAGTGAATGGAGACGAATGGTACTTGGGACCTGACGATCTGTTGGAGTGTGAGTAGGGTAATATTTAGTGAAGGGATTCAGGGAAACCGGTTATTTTCATATAGTCAGACTTGAGTCCTGGAAATGGGAAGTACAATACCTGCACTTTAAAGGAGGGGTTTGGGATATTGGTAGTTTGGAGGGATATGTTGTGTATCTTTATACGTATATGCTTCTAAACTGTTATATTCTGAGCACCTCTGCAAAAACAGTGATAATGTGTGAGTGTGGTGAAAGTGTTGAATGATGATGAAAGTATTTTCTTTTTTGGGGATTTTCTTTCTTTTTTGGGTCACCCTGCCTCGGTGGGAGACAGCCAACTTGTTGAAGAAAAAAAAAAAAAACTCCAATTATAAATCATAAAATAATACTGTAACAAAAGAAAAGAGTGATATCAACAATTCTTGCCAACCTGCCAGGTGAAAGCATCTCCGCGAGCTTTCTCACTTTCAATTTCTTTACTTGATCTAGGGAAAGAGTTTTTCCACAGAAGCAACATCCGAGGTAGCAGCCCACGCACCACCCCAACACCTGTGTCAAAAGATCAAATACAAAAACGATTATTTTTAAATTGATCAATACTTGCTTTCTTCCTCCCTTCCTACTTTCTCTCCCTCTCACCCCCCCCCCTCTTTCTCCTCTCTCCCATAAATCTGTAAACAAACTCAAATCTGGAGTGCATGATACCATCTTAACATCACATGAAAATGGCAAACTTACCTAGTGTCATAATAGAGCCAATAATCAGCCAGCCTGCTTGAGTTCGGTGGAGAGACAAACGAGAATTTTGACTGGCCGATCGAAGTAGCTCTTCAGCAATATTAAAGAGAACTTTGCCTCGCATGTGTGGTATTCCCAGTGGGGTTTTCTGCACACATCCAACTAATGCTGACACAACACAG